TCACTTTGGTATACATACTCAGAGTTTATTAAAGTAACTCACAGCAGCCGTCGTGAGTTACTTCCTCATTGGGGAAATGGGTCTGAGTTTGTTAAACCTGTTTTGTGAAGTGGACTCCTGGTCTTAAAATCTCTGTTCAACAGTCATTTTGTTCAAGCCGAATTCAAGTTTGCCTCTACGCAAAGAGACAAACAATTTCTGCCTATGCTGTTAGAAAAGGCTGTGTGTTTGAATAGCAATTTTCAATATTTTGACTAATCTAAAATTAGCTTTTAATTCCAGCTAGATTAGTTTTAATTTATCTGGAATATTGTAAAACTTCGTTATGTGTTGATGCTTTTATGCCTTCATATCACTGGTTGTGTTTAGAGTTGTTTTTTTTGACTGAAAGGTACATTTTCTCTTGCCTGCATTAATTTTTTTCCAAAGCTGCCCTGCTGTGTATTTTTGCTCAACCTACAGTTTTATTATTCCATAATTAACTTCCCAATGTCTGCATGAAAAGCATTTTAAGAGTATGATGCTTCAAATTATGCTTTTTAACTTTGTGGTATAGGATTAAACAAGGGTGAATACAAATTGACTGTTTCTTTTCACTTCAATGTTAACTAGCCCCTGTTTTTTTGTTTGTAACAAACATCCCTTCAAATCCCTTCAAAGATTATTTTATTAATTACTCAAATTTTCAATGAAGATATATTTTACATGTACACAACAATGCTTTTACAAATACTTAAAATTTCCAAATAAAGGAACAATTACCCTGAATGCTTTGAATAATTTGTATATTGAAGCATGAGGTATTGTTTTTTTTTTTAAACTTTGCAGTCATCTTCATCTTTGTTTTGTTCATCCTGCTTCTTGTTTAGCGTTAATGTTGAATATTTAGAGGGACTTACTGGGATGATAAAGGTTACACAGCTTGTTTTGACACAAGGCTCTGAAGAATATCACACATTGATACACCAGACTAACGTCGTCTTTTATCCTATAGTGGCATTAAATGTCTCACTGCCATCTGGCAAAGCATAAATAAAAAAATATACACTTTTAAGAAAGTCCATCTTAATTGTTAAATGTTTACTTACTACAGCTCTCAGTAGGCAGGCACACAGCTTTTAATGAGTCACAAAAGCCTATGGGCTCTTTAAGCTTACTTTAAGTGTGTTTCCAAACAAACCAAGCCCGGGAATGAACTGTCGATAATGGCTTGTATGGGCCAAAACAACACTGACTGATTAGGCAAATGATAAAGTTACCCTTGCACTACCATTGTGTGTAAGTGTGCTCACACTTCTGGGGAGTTACAAAAACAACATGTCCTTGTGGATTTTTTTTAATGGTTTCTGCTAAGTAAAGTAAAGTAAAAAATATTTTCATCAAATTAATGTTACCATATTATCATATCAACTTGTATAAATCATTGTCGGTTTTACAGCACTCAGAAAAAATAAAATACGGTACATCAGATGTGGGAAAAGGGCAGTCTTATTAATCATGGGAAAATATGTGAATTAAAGGATACTAATACAAAATTTGAACATACAAAATGTTGAAGTTTGAGTGGATTTTTTTTAGAGTCTGTATTTTTCAGATTTTTATAAGCACAAGTAACAGATTTCATGCAGTCTTGAAAAATTTGGAAGTGTAAAGAACATGATTTATCATTTTGGATGATTTGAAAACTAAAGTCTAGAATAAACCAATGTTTGAATTGGCTTCTCAGCCTCAACTCTCTGGGAAACACTTATAGCATATCTCAGGGCACAGATTACTTCTCACTGTGTTCAAGTGTAGGTATATTGAAGAATTTTCCTCAGAGATTAAGGCTCTGGACTAATTCACATCTGGTTCTTAGACCCCTGATTTTTTTTAGGAAGAAAGTAAGCTTATAAACTAAAATTAATCTATTAACTACCAAATAAGCATAGGGGATTCTTAAATCACAGAGTAAGTTCTTTGAATATGGGTATAAACTTTCTAATCTATTGGCTAGTGAAAGCAACTTTCCTTATTTTTTCACAAATCATGTTACCTGATGGCTCCTCAAGTCATTAATCACTGCTTCAGAGACTTTTATCCTAAATTATATATATATTATATATGATATATCCCTCCTTACATATCTTGTAGTATCTGACTAGGTTTGTCTCCATCAGACATTCTTACTTAACTTGAGAGAACTTTTCATTATCGTTTACATTACATCTAACACTTCACGCCCAGAGACGGCAATATTGCTTGATGCTGAAAATGCATTCAACCAAGTTGGGTGGAATACCCTGAGCTGTTTTGGTATAGGCCCTAACTTAATTTAACTTGTCAAGCTCATTTACACTGATCAAGATGTCTGAGTTTATACCACTTATCTCTATCTATTCACTGGATTGCTGATAGCCCAAAAAAACTGCCGCCATATTGGTACTCCCCAATCCCATGGAGATGTGTAATAAGCATACCTACGTGTGCAGCATTTGGCTGCAAAAACAAGCAGTTTGCTGTGTCTGGGAAGACATTTCACAGGTTATTTCACACTCAGTGGATGTGCTAACCGAGAAAATCCATATATACGCCGATGTATCCTATAGTACAGAATGTAGGATAACACTAGTCTATTTTTAATACAAATTTAAACCACAAATAATAATAGCATACAATACAGCCTTTAAATATATATATTAGAATTATGCATATTCACAATGGGTTCATATCGCACACTATAACCATTTTAATTGAAGACATCATAACTTTTCATGCATTCCATTGCAAAAAATTTGACAGCCTGTGGGAGTTCTAGTAGTATCAGAATTCTGGGAGTCCTAGTGTTAAATGCTAATGCACAGGCACAGCATAAAATTATAGGGCATCATTCATGCACAATTAGCAAATAGGAAAATACTTTAGCATTAACAGACATGTACTTGTAATTCAGTCTTGATTTGAAATCTTAAAATTACATGTAATATGTTATTACCATAACAATTAAATAAATACATGTCTATTACATCTAAATCATCAATTTAGAACTTTTGGCACATGTGTATTATTATCCTCCATTAACACATGAATTTTGTTGTGATGACCTTGTATAATATGTTATGTTATATGTTTTATAGGCTTCATACTGACTATCCAATGAGATGTGCCTATTTTTCTATTATGATTTAAAGTAATCTACTTGTGCTATGAAACACCATGTGTGTGTCAAAATGATGAATTTATCTTTGTTTAAAAAGGCTTACGCCTGCCGGAAAATGACAAAATCATCGTTGTTCGATGCTGTAGTGCACATGTTGTTAACATTGAGACCGGTCTAACTAGGGAAATATGGCAGCTGGTGGCTTTATTTCAACCCCATACTACCAACGGGCTACCAGCAATCCAGTGAATAAATAGAGTTTAGTGGTTTATACCAGCAGTATCTCATCTGAGTATTTTTCTTTTCACAGTAGAACTGTTAAATATGGAAGTTAGGTCCCCTTGAAGGCAGCTGCACCTCAGAACTTCCCTACGGGTTCTTTACCTGGGAGCAAGTTCTTTACTGCTCTTAACTCAAACTGGGTAAAACCATTTAAAAAGGACTATAAAACAGAAGTGAAAAAGTAACAGCTTTATTCTATGTCAGGTAATTACAGGACAGAGAAATGGCTTGGAGTTTGCACAGGTGTGGACTCAAAAAATTGCTTTTCATTCTAGCAATAGGGACTCTTGCCTTTGCTTTTAGAGTTAACAATAGTGTACAAGGTATCTCACATGATGGCCTAACTAACACTGCTTCACATTATATGGACAATGTTTCATTTTATGTTTTATTTTATTTTTATAGGAGAGTGTTGCCTAGTGGTTAGGGCATTGTGCTTGTATTTCAGAGGTTCTGAGTTCAAGCCCCACTCCCACGGACTGATACTCTGGCTCCCTGAGCAAGACCCTTAACCCCACACTGGGTGCTGCACAGTCCCGGGTGCTGCATAGGCAGGTATCAGGTGTCGGTTTTGGGGCCAAAAAATGGCATTGGATCAACAATAATCTTAGATAGTTGCTGCCCCTTCAATTTAAGATATTTAAGAAAAAGTTAAAAATTACTGTCAGATGAAGAGCAGGATATTGCTCCTCCTAGAATCCACTGTCCTTCCTCATTTTCCAGACATGCTTTTTGATACAGTTTAAAGTGATACATAGGCTTTTGAAAAGCTTGCAAGAATATTCCCTGATGTGGACCACTATAGTGAGAAACATGGCATTAGAGAGACGCAGGCCAGAATGGCTTACATCAAACTCTACCTGAAACTGTCTGGTAATCATAATGCTAAATAAAGTGAGATTGCTATCACTCTAGTGGTAATGAAAGCCGCTTACGCTAATCAGAGGTCACTAAAACTAGTATTGTTCCAGTGTGCAAGTTCGCCTAAACAGTGTGGTAATCTTCTTTGGCCCCTCAATAATCTGACTATTAAAGACAGTTTAGACTCATGTCACCATTCAACGAATGGTTGTCAAGAAAAAACAGCTTGGGCTACGTTGACATTTGGCAGACTTTTATTTTAATTTAGCAAAATGTATTGAAATCCTTAAGCAATATTAAACAAAATGCATTTTATCTCAGAAAAGTGATTGGTATTTATCTTTATATCAGCAGTTATGTAAAAACATTATGAGTTTAGAGCTTAATGCATTCTTCCATATTGTTTTTTAAAAAACATTTATTGATTTATACTGATGTACTTGCTTTTATATAAAAAGGTCCTATGATTTGTACAAATGCCAATCAATCTATCTAAATTCATCTTTAATATCTGTGTTTACTCATGAGGAAACATTTTCAAGTGCATGTTTCAGCTGTAGTTAGAACTTGTCTTCTGTTGCTCACTGGGTTTATGCACATTAATCTCTGCCTTGATGGCCTCACAAGCTCTGCTTTGTATCCATGACCCAATATGCTGTGTGATCCTGCCTACACCCTCATTTGTCTCCATCAGGGGACAAGCGAGGCTACGACTTACCAATGCGCAGTACGTCTCGGGCGGATCTCCACACGTGATGTTTGAGGGGTCAAGGGCCACTCGCAGGTACTTTGTCATGTCGGTGGCTTCTGGCTGACAGGCCATGTAGTCCCATGCAAGGCCCTCCTCAGTATAGATCTGGGACTTGCACACGTCATAGTGTCCCCAGGCTGCAGGGTAATGTTGCATAGCATGTGACACAACGGTGCACACAGCCTGAAGGGTGAGTAATATAGGCCAAAACATTGCTGATCTTTTGATTATGGTTTCTGTAGAACACCCTGTCTATGTTGCTGTCTTTAAATATGCAACTGCCTCTTGCTATATCAAAGATAGGATTTTAAATCACTCGAAGTTCTGCACAGTGTAATGAGGTATTGATGAACAGGGACAGCATCTAGAGATTATATGTGAGCAAAGTTAGGGAAATTTTAGCCTCCCGCCTGTTATTCTGCCTTTGATTGATAGCACATCTGACTGGCAGATGAGACGTGCCAAAGAGTGAGTTTTTTCAACAGTGCCGATGGTTGATGGAAAGGTCAAAAATCCTTCCAAAGTGGATTTGAGATAGAAACGACATTCCTCATATTCCAGCAGATTTTGATCTTGATTTCTTGTCAATGGTATAGCTCGGCACTGCCAGCATCCTAAAAGACAAGAGAAAAAGAGGGTTTGTGTAATGTATGCTAACTAGAATAATAAAATTCACAAAAGTTTCATTGTGCATCCTCATATGCACATGCAACAACAGGGTAGAAAAACAGAATACACAATGCAAGATATTTCTCTTTGTATGCTTAGAAATAACCATGTTGAAATCATTGCATACAATTCAAACTGAGCACACTTCATAGGGCATAACCTCATTTATATTTTCATCCAAACAGCCTTATTTCCAACTTTAAGTTGAGTTTTTTCCCCCCAACTCCTTAGATAGCCTTTTGTGAAATTTATCATATGTCTAACCCATTTTCGAACAATTCAGAAACAATAAAGTAAATCAGAGAGACAGAATTGAGCTTTTAAGATAATGTTTCTTAAAACTCTCACAAGTCATAAATCTGATGATATAACTTATCAAACAAAAATGACTCATTCCAAATGTCTGAGACCTATATAATCACAAAATGACAAGTGTTTTAAAAAGAACAGATGTCTCTAAAAAATAATGGGTTTAGGTTAATTGAGTTCCCGTCAGTATTTATATCAGGCTTGTTTTTTTGCTGTGGTGACAATAATTTTTAGTAAATATTAGGATGGTAAAATGGATAGAATAATCTTTATAACAGTTGCAAGGGGAGAGTCCTAGGGTCACTTTAGGGCAGGGGTAACCAATTAAAAATTCAGCAGGGTCCGAATAAAGAAAATCATCAACCAGTAAAGGTCCCGAGACATTTTTAAATATAATCTCTTACTTTAAACAGAATTTAACACTGAAATAAAATTAGGTGTTTATGCATCCATGTTAAACATCAAATTTTTAAATAAATGAAAATAGAAAATTTTTCCATTTTAAAATCTAAAGTGTTTTTTGAAGAAGAAAACAACAATCTTTCAGTTAGGTAAATAGACGATTGCCTGTTTCACCTATTTTATAAAACACCTGAACTGACTGTTTATTTATTTATTTTTCTTTTTTCTGTCTTAATGAGAGCAGTGGGCTTTAGGCTGCCCTGCAAGGCTTTAAACCTGGGTTTGAATGGGGACAAAGCCATTCTCAAGCACATATCTAGGCGCTCATTCCTGAGCCTGGATACATATTTATTTTTGATTATTTTCATGGTGGAAAATCCTGCTTCACAGAAGCAGGTTGAGCCACACATACTCAAAATGTGCAGGTTCCGCTCCGGTCTGATCAGGTCAGGATCCGCTCTTTCAATCGCACCAAACAGGAAAAAGAACAGCGAGGAGATCCGATTTGTCAAATTAAAATATAGTAATAATAGACTGGTAACTACAAATTAAAGCATAATTTGTATATATTTCAGAAAACTAACACTGTTTATTTCAAAGATTGGATGCAAACTATTGGTACTTCAACATACCAGGAAGCAGATTTCTCATCTCCATCAGAAACCGCACAGATGCTGGATGCTGATTGGGATTATTTTATATGTCATACTAAATTAAGTGTTCATTTCTGCATGTTTTGCTCCTACAAATTTAATGATAATATCATGCATGCTCTCCTCGAGCTCCGAGGATAAGTTGGAGCGCAGCAATACGGGAGGAACAGGTACAGCGGAGATGGAGGATGTGGGATTTCAGGGTAACAGGAGAAGTGGCACAAGTGACGTTTAGACACTGTCGTCAGACAACATGTGGTAATTTATAATTGTTTTAAATCAAGCTGGGTCTGGATCAGGACCACGGTCCGCTAATCCATGATCCCTGCTTTAGGGTCATAGAGACTATTAGATGTCATCTACTGTACATCAAAGCAAGTTGCCATCCCAAAAAAAAAACTAAAAAAATTTTGCTCTTACAAACACAAATTTAATAAAATTTGTCAAATCGTATTAAAACCATTTGCTTTGGTCAGATTAGACCAAGATAAAAGTTTAACAAACACTCTAGGTTAGTCTACATGAAATAAAGATTATCACGTGTAAAAGCATCTCATCCCCACTGTTAGGTATGGTATGTAATGATTGAAGCTTGTGGCTATTTTTTCTTTTTTTATTCCTACATAGTCCATATTGTGGATTTTGTTTTTCTGTCTTTTTATTCAAAAGTGTCTCTAACTCTTGGAAATATCCAGGCAAGGAATTTGAATAGAAGAATAAAAGATTTGGTGATATATTTTACATCTCAAAATCTGCAAATTACAAAGTCTCAAGGTATGTCAAAGATCCAGAATATGGCCAAACCAAACAATTCATTAGACACAAATCATCTTTCTCTCATGGTCGGCCTCTGGCAGGTTCTTTCCAGGTTTTCCCTGTATTTAGATTTAATTGGTCCTCCAATCCACCCAGATCAGCTTTTCCGTGCTTGTTATAGAAAAGAAATCCTCACAGCCAGATTTTGCCAACCCCATGATTCATCTTCATGTTGTGTTTTGTAATTATGTACCGTGTTATTTTCATTCACCACAGAGCATGTTGCATGTTTCCCACAACTGTAGTTTTGTTGCTTCGACCAGAGTACCTTCTTTCACATCTTTGAGGAACTTCTGTCTTTACACTAAGCATAATCCAAACACTTGTTTAGGACTATTCATGCACTTGATATAAGTACAAGACTTTTTTTCTGAGTAAAGTTAAACTCAGTTTAAAACTGTTTACAAATGACATTTGGTCCATCTGTTAAAAGGGAATTAAATGGCTCAAAAGATCACTCTTTTTGAGGAAAATATTGTAAGTTTTTTGTGTGTGAAATTCTTACTTGATGCTCTGCATCAAAATAGGCATTAGCTGTCAGTAGTGGGGTCAGCCATTTTATCTTATTCAACACAGAACATTTATGCAACCAGGGCAACCTAACCCTAACATGTAGCTTCAGCATAGGAAGTTGGGATAATAAAATCTTTACCTTCTACTTTCACAAAATCAGGGGTGTTAAAAAATATCTAAAATATAACACATATTAAACCCACATTATCTTAAAATACAGAAAAATCTGGAGGTTGAGTGTGATAAAGTTACATTTATTTTGGAAACACAACACAACTAACTAAAGGCCTTGTTATTAGAGAGAGATATTAGCTAACATTTTTTTAACATCCATTTTCCATTTTTTCCTCACATGTCTGCCTCAGTGACACTACTCAAAATGCAGGGGATAGCAAGCGGAGGCCATGATTTCACTGGGAATAATACAAGGTCAGATTCTATATTAAAAGTAATAAATATTTAAGCACCTCTCCATATGCAGAGAGGAAGAGCCATTTCACCTCAATCCCTTGCCCACCCTTCCCTTAGTCTCTTTCCCTTTACTTTTTCTTAAACCCTGAAACACCCCCTTGTGTCTGCTTGCATCCTGTCCCCTGGGCAGCTCAAGCATAGCAAAGTGTTTTAAAAGTCAGGAGACAGCCTGCCATGCCCCGTGGCTTGTAATGGTTCCAAGCTCTCTTTGCAAGACTCTTTAAAATCATACTGGGTGGGTTTTATTCATTTCATAGTAATCCTGCTTAAGTAATGCTTTGGCCCCTGACATTGCTTTCTGATCTTTGTTGGACTCTTTATAGGGGTCAGCGTAAAAGACAAGATATAGCTCAGTACGTGACACTACCTACAATAGTTTAAAAGAAAAAGACATACAAAAAAATAATAAACACGTAAATTAAAGAGCCTGACGACTTTCCATCTGGTAAGAATTTTGTAATGTGTGCATGCATGTACTCAGACATATACTCACACGCATACAACCACACTCCCTTCTTTCTAAATGTACTGAGGAACATGTAATGACTCCCAGTGGTTTTCTATCATTTTCAACACTTTTTATGTCTTAAACCTGACAAAACCCTAAACATGACTATAACTAACTCTTAACAATAAACTCAATTCAAACCTTGGGCCTTAATCAACCATTAGCAAAGAAACCAAAAAAACAAAACAAAATGATAACCAAGAAATTATCTCACTTTGGGGAAAACTGTAAACGACATCTCAGTTTGACAGTGAAATAAGAAAAATTAAATGAATTCTGATGGCCAAAATCAGGGTACACACTCACAGTTAATTTATATTCTGTTTATTGATTGCATTGACTTTGAAGCATAGATCCTGATCTGCAGACGTAGGCAGACTAATGTTGTTGTTTGCTTTGGGTGATGAGAGCAACAATAAATGGATAAGTTCTCCTAACATCCTCCGAGCCAAAAGCCAACCTCTCAATATGAGTCACAGTGGGATCCACTGGCAAGCAGAAGCAGGTCTGTGTGGGAACATGTTTTTCTTATTTTCCTCACTTCTTTATAAGTCCTTCATTCAAGATCTCATCAGTACTTGTTTTTGTCACCTAACTGTTTTTCTGTGTGCTTTCCCCCAAAATGCGAGCAGACTACTGCACTCAACTCCATGCAGAAAAAAAAGCACTTTTGGTGCCCCACCTTTAAATTCACCAACAACGCATGTCACATTAGGCTGTTATTTGAAGAGAGGATGTTTCCTCCAGCAATATCCTGCAAAAGATACTCAATTTTCCTAAGGTGGTGTGAGTGAAGTGGGGACAGTGTGATGGTCCTGCAGCCACAGCCAAACTCAGCTCAGCTATGTAATATACCACCATGTATAATTCAACTTTTTTCTTCTAGTTGTCTAATATACAAAATAAACACAGAGCATATTGGCATCAGTGGGGGGTGGAGGGTCACATTCAGGGGGAGGCTTGAACAGGCAGTTAGTGGTGGACTTTTTAATTGCTTTGCATTAAAAATTATTATAATGTGTACAGCGGAATAATAAATATGCAATTCAGTGAATGCTTTTTTGAAGCTTGTCGCTTCCTTTCTAAAATGTTATACATATAATAATAGTTATAATAATAATAATAATATTATGTTTTATTTGTAATGCACTTTACATTGAAGAAATAAATATGTTTAAAATTGTCATTTGGGAATGTAAATGATAAAATAGTTAAATAAGACAAATAATGTTCCACAAAAGAATATTCTTCCCTTTCTTAGACTGAATACAATGCAAATATTTAATACTGATATATTTTATTGTGCATGCAACACTAACTCTTTATGTAATAAATAAGTGATGGTAAATGATTTGTAATTTATGAAAACTATGATGAGCATTTCAAATTAGCATGCGATAACCAAACAAATGGTCTATTTATTTATTTTCAAAACTGACATATTTATGGGGTGCTCTTGTTCCTCCTTGGGGGCTCCACTGGTTGTCAAGAATAGCAATCACAAAGTCAGTCAAATTTTTAAAAGGCATGTTTCTAGATTGGCCATAACATTTTATCTAAAATAATGTAATGATTAATAGATAAATGTTGGGTCAACCTGGCTGCATCTTGAGTTGTTTTATGCCCCTTGTTGTGCAGAGGCTAGGTTTAAAAGGAAAAAAAACAAACAAAAAAAAAAAAACAAGAAAAAATAATCATGAAGAGGGAATGCTCAGTGAACGCCATTACCAAACATTATCATAGATTTTCGGGGACCTTCAATTAAGGTCATTTGAACTAGATGGCTGATCACCATTATATCTTTACAAGCATTTGTGCAACAGGTTTTATAATATAATTTTTTAAACAAAAGTATCACTTAGTAGGTGCATAATACTTTAGCAAACTTGGACAGTAATGGTGATAATCTTTTAAAGAATAGATCAATACACTTATTTCAGGAGATTTTTTAAAGCATATCACAACTGCAACTTCAACTACAACATAATGATTAAGCTATTTAAAAAGCAACCCATAAAATTACTCTAAATTAAAACCAATCACATCCATCTGGTGCCTTATTAGCCTCAAAATCCAAAAGCGAACAAAACATGCTCACAATTAATTGCGCACTCGGGAAAAGCTGATAGTTCTAAACCTTTTAAAGCATTTTCATGTGAATTCTCATTCAAATTTCTGAGTATTTTCTATAGGGTCTATGTCTCTCTAAAGGGGCAAAATTACCCCGTGCAAAAAGGCAAGTTTTGCGCATGCCATGTAAATACGCACGGAGACCTTCGGAGACAATTTGCTCCAACTGACTCTCAACTTTTCTGTCTCACTAACTAAGCGCAGCCTTTTTCTTTTTCGATCACCGGATCTTTTCTCTCGTTCACATTTAACCAAACATCCACTCTCATCTACACAAGACTTTACAGAGCAGGTTTATATGAGTCCATCCCTACAGAGAGCGACGATTGGAACATATGATTTCTCAGCCAAGGCTAGTTGTGAACAGAAGAGACAGGAGTATGGAGATAACGTCTCCTTGAAATGGAGCCACTATGTCAAGTTTAACACGAAAGCTCCGCCGGGTCCTAAAGATAATAGCGCTAACATAATCTATCCTTAACTTCAGCTGGTTTTCCAAAAGAATATTGCGTTTGGTTTTAATGTCTGTGCAAAATAAGTTAAGAGCATTCCTCGCGTAAAATATGAAACTTTTTTTGACAATTATCTTTAGCTTGACCTGTTATGTGTTTTTAATAGCAGTATTGGATTCAAATTGCATTAGGTATGTGAAGCATATAGGTCTTGCAAACATAATTAACTGCAAAGGTAGAATTCCATGTGTGATTATTACTATAAATAGTGTGAATCCCCATGCAGGGGAGTACAACTCTAGCAACTCAGACAAGTCGAAACAGTCTAGCACTATGAGCTGGTCAGCACATAGCAGTTTATGACTCATTGTTATAAATAGGGTGTTATCGTGGGTTTCTGACCTATGAGTAACCTGTAACCGAGTCTGGTTTATTTTGCAAATATATATTTATTGAAAATAAATAAATACAGTGTGAAGCTATATCCAGAATAATGTGAGCGTCTTAAACTTGAAATGCAATGTGTACATTTCCAAAAACGATTGAGAAGTGTGTTAAGAAAAAAATAATAAAGAATTTCAAATCTACCTGAAGAGTAAAATCAGATTCATCCGTTCCTTTTAGATTACAAACATTCATTTCTTTGCCTTAGAACCAGATGCCTTCCATAACAAGCAACTCGGAGAAAAAAAAAGAAAAGAAAAAAAGATCTTACCTTGCATGTGAGAATATACGGATTGAAGTTGAAAAAAAAAAATCGTATGAAGAGCGAGTGAAAAAATATTGTCCTGAATGAGTGGAGTAATTATTCGCTGTAAGGTTTTTGTTTTGGAAGCAGCGCTGAAAGAAAGAACAAGTAGACGCGCCTACCGGGCTCCCTTGGCGCGGAGTCACAGATGTCACCCACTACAGGGTGCCTAACAGTGCGGCGAACAGCCATGCTGACAACTCGCTTGGAATACGCATTTTAATTGTGCTGTAATGCCAAACTGCTGCAGATTGCCACACGATAAGAGCAGCCGCGCCCAGCTGAAGGTCATCTCAGGAACTGAAGAGATCCGTATTTCACTCTTTGGTGATGCAGCACACACTTCCTAACTGTAAGGCTGCTTAGTAGAAAAAGCCTCCCCCTTTTATTTCCTAAAAGTTTTCATTTTTGCGACTCTAATGAGTGTGGATTCGCACTTAGGTGAACAGAATGTTTTATAATAACACCAAGTGTTTTGTAAAAAGGGAATAACAAAGAAAATGCATTCAAGCTTATCCTTTGACTTCAGCACCACGGACAGCTTCATTAAGCCTAAAAGCGTTACAGTCTCTTGAGGAGAATTTATAAAATTGTTCATTAATCAAATAATAAAGTGTAAAACTGTTATTTGTTTTTACATTGAATTTAATAGTAATTTTAAACTTTATTCATTATTGTTTAATTTTTTTTTTTTTTAAATCCTCTTGTATTTTTTGGTGAATTAACTTCTGAATTAATTGTTTTATTATGCTTGGTCGTTTGTGCACAATTGCTGTTGTGCAGGAAAAAAAAGTAACTTTTTTCAATTGAACCTAATGGCTTGACCAACGCTCTTGATATACTGACTTGTTAACTCGGTAAACTTCACTTTGGTCATGGCGCTGAGTCTGGGCTGAGATGGTTTCAGGGGCTTCATTTTCCTGATGGGGCACGGTTCAGAGCTACAGTATCTAATCAAAGTAAGTCAACAGAATCTGTAAACCCCTATATTGTTCACTCTCTGCATTAATCCATGCCATTTTTTGGGGAGCAGTGGGTTGCCACTGTGCAATGCTCTAACCACTAGGCCACCACTCCCCCAAATAGCAATGACACCAAGGTGATTTGAACCTTGGTGATCTGGAGTCACACTACCGCCACAAGGCCTAAAAGCAATAGTCATAAATATAGTCATGTTCATTATATTCCATATGTCCTGAGGAAGCTGGAGAGTATGGTTGAGCAGAGGAATGTCAGGGCCTTCCTTTATGGACCAGTTTTAACCATCACTCTGACTTCTATGACATAAGATCACCACCTTTTCACTGCATGAAAAGATCAAAGTCTGAAATAGTGTAGCAGAAAATCTTCTTGAATAAAAAAAATGAAGTTAATTTATGTTGCCCTGCAGGATGTTCTTCTGCAGACAGGGTGAAAAGTTTTCCTTTACCATACTTGTTTACAAGATGTGTCACATAACAATAATTCTAAGGACTTTCAGGTGTCTGACAACCTTCAGAATAGCTTGGATGAGCCTTGCTATAACTTTATGCAAGAACACTGGCTGCAAAAACAAGACTTTAAACCTTAGACAGAGTTTCATCCCTGTCTGGGTCCTGCACTACCCTACACCATTGGCATCTCCTTGAGACAAAGCAGTTGAGTACAAGGTTTCAAAGAACTTACTTGATACCCGTAGGTTAATTTGTTTTGCAGTCTGGAAAGGATTTCATACTTGCACAGTACAAGTATAACTGAGCTGCTGAGGGAAGGGAGTTAAAACTGTTATTAAGTCATATACTAAAAGTAACAAATACATCTACTTTCCAAATTTCCTGCAACAATAGCCAGATAGATACATGGGCAAATGGCACATTAGTTTTGATATCTTTAAGGTTGCATTATCAATTATATTTTCCAGAGTGTAAAGGTTTTGGCTCCACTTATACTTATCAAACTGTATTTGTTTCAAAATCACTTTAGTACTTGTCATGATCTTGCTTAATTAATAATTTCATTCACCTGTCAAACTCTCTGCTCACTGCTCATCTGATCCACCTGCTCCTGCCTCTATTTAAGTTGCTTGCATCCAGTCATCAGGGCTGGATTATTCTTGTTCTCTCTAGCCAGTGGTGAGAGTCATTTTAGAGTATCCATCAGGCATGCACAAAACAAAACAGGTCCAATATTTTTTGAGTAATTCTATAATTTCTATGAACATGCCTCGTTAAAATAACAACAAATAATATAGCAGCCATATAAATTGTCTATAATCATTCAACCCTACTGTATAAATTGAACAGTTTATATGAATTTTAAAAGTTGCCAAATTAATTGTCAGTGATGACTGTATGCAAACTTCTGACCAGAATGTTAATGGACAAAAGGATCTACCTTTAAATGCAAAAGGAATCCCTCTATAACTCCATTACACTTTAACCATTTTTTTTCTAGCTGAACACTACAGTGGATGACAAGGACCCAAAGTTGGAGTCTGCCCTCTCACCCTCTGCATATCCTATCTCTCTGTGCCATACAGACCTCGGAGCTGATGGAAATAGAGGGTTTGCTGTTTCATTCTGCTCCCAGGAGTCTATTGATGATTTCAAAGTGGAGTCCACCTGCCGCAGCTTTAATCATCTGTGACCCTAGCTGAATGTTGGAAGATCAACAGACATTGGTGAGGATGGGATCATGCCGTACCTTTCTTTGATTTGTGAGCAGTCAAAAAAAATTTAACATGACATATATATAGGGATTATGAAGAGCGATTTTGTACCAGCAGAGCTATTTATATGTTAATTGAGCTACATGTTTATAGAGGTTTGAAATAACATGTTTAGATACCAGTTATATTTGGATCATTGGTGTACTTACTTTTAATCAAAAGATGTACAATGAGAAACAGCATTTAGGCATGTCTTATGGGTGCCAAATTTAAAAGTCTGTATTACGATGAGGGTTGTAATAGTGGCTTGCAATTAGGTGGACATAGCTATTAGTTTACTTCACTTTGGAAAAACCATGTAAAAGCAATTCCAAATGTTATTCAACCTTTTGTTGATAAAGGTGTCAGAAACTTGTGGCTATATGTAAAGAAGAATCTACTTTTGGTACAATGCAAAAGTCTTTTGGCTTGTCTAGGGTCTCCATACTTAGCTTATAATAGAGCATTTTAATGTAGTCTTCAAAACAATCTTGAGCAAAAAAAATTTAATTTATTTCTAGGGTTTTTTCAAAATTTGTTTCATTTTAGTGTACTTTTAGTCAGGCAGAGGGAGATTGACAGTATCAAGGCAGGAGCTGTGTGGATGTATTTATTTCCCAACAGTTTTTAATTCTTATGAACACTAAAAGGTTTTACATAATTTAACACAGAAAACCCAGAAAAATACAAAACATATTTTCCATGCAGATACACTGGCTTCAACGAGTTGTGATTATTCCCTGAAATGTTAAATGAAAAGACAATTTTAATCAAATCTGCTTTACAAAAGGAAGAAGGCTAAAAATGCATTCAAAAAGCAACAAATCATGCACCAATCTAAAAAAAAAAATAAATAAATAAAAACAGAATATTTCAGAATAGCAAAGTCAGTTAAATCTATCATTTACTGCAAGGGTTAAAAGATCCTTTGTTATTTCAGTGGACCACAGTAAGAAAACATGGAACAGTAGATAACCTTCCTAAGGTTTTATTTTCCCCATTTCCTGTAGAACATAATTTTTTATCATTTATTTGTGTGAAACTATTTTGTGGAATAGAAGGAGAATAAATATTTTTCTTAAGGCGGGGGACTTGTTAAGAATATTAACATATTAAAAGTCAAATATGGTATACCTCACTACATGGGCATAGTAGGGGGAAAAAGGGTACCTGACTATCCAGTGTCCTGAAAGTGAGGGATGTCCATTACTTTTTTTGAGTGATGTTTTTACTTAGAAAGAATTGGGCCCTTAAATTAGTTAAATTAGTGCTTCAATTTTTTTCAAATATTTTGATAAAAATCAACTGAGTAAGAACTTTATGAACAGTCTAGCTGACATATTGGACATCCCTACTTCCTGTTGGAGTTGCAAAATTGATGAGTCCTGCAGACAGCAACAAGTGTAAAGTCCATGAACCCAGATTAGGTGATAGATATGCTGCCTAAAATGCATAAAAATAAAATCAAAAGAAGAGAAGGAAAAGAAGAAGAAAACAGAACCAGAGCATGAAGGTTTAGACTGCTGTCTTTTCCAAAGGCAAACTGTGCTTGCTTGTTATGCATATTCCAATAAAGTCAACGTAGCTCACTCCAGAGAGATACTGAGGAAGCTTGTATACTCACGAAAAGTCTATATTTAGCTAGTTGTTGACCAGGCTGCTTGTGAACTAAAGTATGAAGACAATAATAGGCCATCTATTGTTAGTTTTCAACATCAGTTTCACAGGCTGCTAGTTTTGCTGCCCCAACCACACCAGCTATTAAACCCCTCCTTTCCGCTGGGGTGAACTTCCTCAACTCTTTAAAGCTGTTCTATTAAAGCAACATTAAATTGAGGCTATGTTACCAAAGGGATTTGGAATGTATTAAATAATTTTTCCAAGAAACACTCAGGGAAAATGAAATTTCCTCAGTTTTTTTGTAAATAACAAGAAAAATTTTAAGGGACATTAATGACGTTGTTCATAATTTAAAAAAAATATATATTATTTGATTGTGGGATCCAAACTGGCAGAAAAATTACCAGATCCTATAGAGATCTGAATGAAAGATTAATCAGCAGAAATCCTTATTCAATGTTTCTTACTGCTGTGTGAGAAAGGGAAACTATAGATATTGTTAATAAAGGTAATAACAAGAGGTCAACTGACTGTGATGGCATTGATATGACAGTAATTAAGAAGGTAATTGAGGAAATTATTCAACCTCTGACTTACATCTGTAATCTGTCATTACAGTTGGGTAAATTTCCAGAAAAGGGAAAAATGCCAAAGTTATTCCTCTTTACAAATCTGGGGACAGACACCATTTCACAAATTACAGGCTTGTTTCTCTACTTCCACAGTTTTCCAAAAATTTGATAAGTTGTTTGTGGCTAGATTGGATACATTCATTAATAAACATATGTTGCTTTCCAAAAGTCAGTATGGATTTAGATCACAAAGATCTACATCAATGGCCATCATTGAATTGTCACCAGCGCCTTAGATAATAAGAAATCTTCAGTTGGTGTATTTATTGATCTCAGAAAAGCTTTTGACATAATAAATCATCCATCAATTCATTTTCTGACACGCTTAATCCCAATTGTGGTCACGAGGGGTGCTGGTGCCTATCTCCCGCTGGCTACGGGCG